AAACTCAAGCTTTTTCTTTGTAAATACAAGTTTTATTTGTTAGTGAAACAGGCCTCAGATATTAAAAACACGTGCCGGAAACTTTGTAAAACATTGCATACCAGTGAGCCAATTGCACATTTATGCACTGTCAGACTACCACTTATTGCGGAAAATGTAAAAAAAGCGCACGAAAGGTTTCATTATCAAATAAAGATAACATATTGCATGCCATAAGATGTTCACAATTTACCATGATTGCATGTAACTTGCATTCTTCTCACTATTTTATGAAGATTGATCTATAAATCTTTTCCCGGTAGCAAATTAATTATTTATCAGAACAGGATATCTAGAAAAATTGTGACCACCTGCTCACTGTTTTATGCCTTAACAATGAATTCGTGACACCATCTCCGCAAGGAGGAAATCCTTTTAAACATAAACGTAGCCAAACACTTGGTGGATTGTCTTCAAATAATACAAAACTGGAGTCGAAAGAGACTATTGAAACTTACGAGTATCGAGGGCAAAAAGACTATAAACGCAATAATGAACTCACGCAAGCCCACACAAATGGTAGATAGACCCAAGACCGACCTAAGAAAAAAAACAATTTATGCCAGCAGAAATTCAATGTTGTCGTGGCCCGAGCCATCAGCTGAATAAAGAGCACAGAACAAATATACATTCGCCACTTCTTAAGAAGGGCTTTGGAAAAGTATTAAATAAAACACAGGATAAGATTCAACCTAAGGTTACTCCAAGTCCAGACAAACTGAAACAACAAGGATACACAACCGCTGTAATGGGAGTAAAGTATGCAATCATCAACATGGGACCAAATGTTGATACATACCGGTACCCACTACCGGAGTCATGCATATTACATAGCGCTTCAAACTATAAAAATTTGTTTATCGTGATTAAATGATTACTGCTTGCCTAGATCTGTCTTTTTTTTGCGGTAGCGCCACCTGCATCTTGCATGGCTAACCGTTCACCATTGTTGGGAATACATAAATTGGTATGCGGAAGCCACTACGCCTGGACCTGGGACAGGCCCGTGCAGTGTAAGTTAACGCCTGAATAGAAACTATGTGAGCATATGTGATGTGATAGTCATTAGTCAGCAATCAGCTTGATCCAGAAATGTGCTCGTTGTAACTTTATTTCATGGGGAGGGGTAGGAAGTTGTTTCGACCATTTAGGATCGTCTACGAATGCACTAAAGGCTGCTAAGTCGAGTCATTCGTTGTTTGAATCTTAAAAATAACATAGCACTGGCGCAATATCACAAAGAGCAAAATCGAGCAGTGCTAAAAGATTAAATAAAATTGATTTTGGTTCGGTAATTTTAAGTTGCTTTAATTTTCGATTAAAGGAAGACTGCCACCTTCAAAAAGTTTTCTCAGATCGGCCTATGATTTATTTCCTGGACAAAACAAAATTTTAGAATTCACCTGACAAAGTATCATCACGTGAATCGCGAAAAAAATTGTCGATTATCATACAATTATCAATCGGTTAATGTCTAGCGACAATGTTTACACATCACTAGACTTCAAGGTCATAAGATTATTACATTTTATTTGAAAAAGTAAGGTATTTTATGATTTACTAATATATGATTTCATAAGAAATTGGCCATGTTTAATTTATTTTGCATTTAAGTTCGTAAAACATTTAAAAAATCATGGCTCATTTGGAATGGGTCTGGCCCATGTTAAACCCCATTTCCCACACTTTTTTGGAAAAATGAACTACTGAATATATAAGTTTAACTTTTATTTTGACACTCCAAAATTCTTCTCTGATCTCGAAACAATCAAAGTTTTGACATATATTTACCAAAAGATAAGAAAATTCATGTTTCAAAGTTATCGATAAACAGTAGAGATGTCGGTTTTCTTGGACTAAAAAAATGGCATCAAACTGAACTTTGGTCTCCGATTTCTCGCAAACGGGTTCGAATTTCGGAAAACCGACTTCAGTCTGGGACATAGGTGGCTCAGCTCTAGTGAAAACCGTTTTGTGAAAAAAAGGTGGCAGTCTACCTTTAAAACAAAAATCGACGACTGCCTCAGTGCCTCAACGCATATTTGCCTTGGACTTATCGTCTCACCTCCAATAATTTTGGCCAAAAAAATATAAAAATGGGCTATACCTTATGTAAAAGAGATGCATGGAAAGGGCGCAAATGCGAGACCGAATGTATCATGGCACAAACTATGCTTTATCCCGCGCCCTGCTGGGGGTCCTGGATTTCCACGCCCTGCTGGGGGGGGGGGGGGTGTTTGAACACCCCCCCCCCCTTGTAACTCGGCTCCTGGGCCACGTAGCGATACGCGGAAGGCGGCGTTCGAAAGAGCGTAAAAAATAATGACGAAATCACTTCGGTCAATTTTTTGGTCAGGTCAAAGGTCAGGTCACCAGAGGTCATTGAAGGCAAAATTTCGCCGATTTCCAGGTCGAATGTCGAAAATTTCCAAGAAGCCAACGCATAACTCGGGAACCAATAGAGCTACAGCGCCGCGGAAAAGCGCATTCGATAGCCCTATTAACGCCCTTTCTGAGTAATTCTCTCAGATTTGACCTAACGTCAACGGTTTTGCCTGCAGGGGGCAAAAACTGCAAAAATAGCCGATTTTTTTGAAAACAGTTTTTCTGCAATAACTTTTGACCCAGGCCTTGTACGAGCTTACTTTTACCGGCATCGTGTTCCTCTCGTCAAGACGCATCGAATGAACTATAACTTGACCTTGAAAGGTCAACTTGAAAATTTGACCTCAGGTCAAGGTCATGACCTGACCGGAAAGGGTCATGTTGCATATCAGTCGATCCGTATCGTCGAGCTGAACACATCTAAGGCGTTTTCATCGCTCTAGCATGCCTCTATCAAAAGTTATTTGCGAAAAACTGTTAGATACCATTCGTGACCTAAGATGACCTCAGGGCATAAACAAAGGTCACGAACACCATTTTTAAGTTCAGTGTGTCTAAACCACTTGTAATTCGGTGTTTGGGAGTGTTTATAATGTCTTTCATCCAAAAGAGGCGCATTTCAATTTTCTCCCATTGACTTATAATGGGGAGGTCGCAAAATTGACCTGACCTTAGGTCATCGATATCAAAATTCTGAGATATACATTTTGTACATGCTATTGCTCTTAGCAATCGCTGAAAGTTTCAAAGCGATCGGTCACTCGGTGTAGCTATGACAGACATTGAAAGTTTTTATGAGGTGAGGTCACTTCAAGTGACCTGGTGACCTGACCTTGAATGACCTTGGTCTGAAATTTTCACAACATGTGTAGAATTGATGTATGATAAGGTGTACCAAAAACGGCGGCGCTCCGCGCCGCCGTTTTTGAGATATTCGCGAAAAACCACAAGGGGGGGTGTTCAAACACCCCCCCCCCAGCAGGGCGCGGGTTATTATAGTTGTGTGAAATATGGAGGCCGTTTTATTCCGATAAACACTTGAACTTTCAGTGGCCTTTACTATCCTAGTGTGTCCGCAATAGATAGAAAGTACAGGTCATTATGATATATAAAACCAGCCCCTTATTTGTTTTACACCTAACGAGTATCATAGAGCGCTCTCATAGGCCATAAACTGGTAATTTGACACCACCTAATCCACGTCATAAATCGTCGCTACTCACGTTCTTCGTGTTCTACGACCAATATTGGTCAATAACGCTTGTAACTGGCGCATTGCACGCGGCACACGTCACCACTGCCCGTTCGCGAATCGCGATAGTGAAGAACGGGGGAAACTTCTGTTTGCAATGTGCTATGTGGCGTGCACTGTGCAGCTGAAGAGGGAGCAAATGAAGGCCCCTGGCGGTGCGGTTCGATTTGTAGGTGACCTAGAATGACCTAAAAGAATTACGAATGTCTGTCTGTCATGGAAAGGTAGGTAAATAATGGCAACAGCATATACAATAATAACGAACATATAGGCCTACAGCTCTTCTGATTCAAAATAGGCAGACTTCTGATTCAAAACTTAAACGGATGAATAAGTATGCTGATAGTGTGAGCTAATATTCCTGCAGGCGTTCGCTCACCGATAAAGGGTTTCGCCCCGGTATAGGCATAGCGAATGAAAATTTGGTAAAACGTGCCTAACCACTAACCAGGGAATAATTTATTTGAAAACAAAGCTTCGGACTGAGTCGATGAGTGCTGAATTAAAATACAGAATACACCGTTTACGACGGAGTCGGTGGATAAAATGAATCCCAGGTCTACACATGGGATAAAGCAATTCTTTAAACGGTTTTGGGTAAATTACGTGTCATTTTCAGCATAAATATTGCATAAGACGTCATTTGACGCAGGACGTTCATGAATCGAGCACATCTATTGCCCAATGGGAACGAAATCTAATGCTGCTAAAATTAAAATCGAGACCCTCTTTTATGCCAGTACGGTCCTACCACCGACAACGATATAAACGTACCTACCGGAACCGTGCCGGAACCCATGTACCGCGAGCGGCAGAATCGGACGGCCGGGCGGCGGTACCCCGCGCGGGCCGCGACCAGCGGCGGAGGCACCACGCAGCAGCATCGGATGGAGCACAAAGACCGAAAATCGATTCCATGCAGTGGACGACCATCACTCGCCAACTCACCCTCCCTCATGCAAACCAAACCCGACTCACGATGGGGAGAAGCTCCCACCTCTGGTCCCGTCACCGAGCCACGAGCTCTCAGAGGTTGCAGGGCCCGCCACGGCAGGCGAACACCAACGAGACACTGAAAACGCCCTCTCCCAACTTGTACTCACGTTTGCAGGGTTTCGGGTTGCTCTGCTTTCTGCGCGACATGGCTGGTGATAAGAGCGCGCGCACAGCACCCTCCCGCACACACTATTATCGCGCGACTATCCCTCTTGGCCCCGCTTCAGTATCGCGGTGTTTATCTCCAACAGATCACTGACGTCACAACGTTAAGCTGTTTGCCGTGACGTCACGGCAGTCAGCTGGCTACCATTGCCGGCGACCGTGGCGCAGCTGCGCCAAATAGTCTTATTGCCGTTTCTGGGAAATTTTTCGTTTGATTTTGTGTTGAAGTGCTTCATGCAGGTGATTATATTGTTTTCTAATTTATTTATGATGCTTAAATAGCCCCTTGAGACTATGCTATTCGAAAGATAAGGTCAAAGTGCATCTAGCGAAGTGGGATAAGTGACAGTAGCTGTGCATCCTAGAGTATAAGGTTTGCTTTTAAAATAAATGTAAAATAAATGTTAAGTCATTTTTTAAGCTGAGATGCAGGATAGTTTCAGAAATTTTGAACTTTGCCATCATAAAATGGTCATGTTGCATCAAAAGTTACGCTATTTCCTTGTTTATTTGGACGTTGACGTGATTTCAGTATGTCACACTAGCTGGAGTTTTTTATAGAAAATATTTTAATTTAGGGGTGGTGATGATTTTTTACAACACAACATAGTCCGAAATAATGAATAAATATCGTGCAACAAAGCATGCAGCTATTGACACTGTCACCGATGACCTATGAAGTGTGAAGTCTGGCCGCTTGGCGAGACTTCCAGGTTTCACTGGAATTAAAAGCGTGCTGGTGTTCTGGAATAAAAATTATTTTATCAATACATACAGCTGCACTACCTGAGTTTAGCCAATTCAGTATTTTTTCTTCAAAGTTTGAAGCATGTCAATATACTCACCTGGTTGGGTTCCAACAATGTCCAGTAGGATTGCCTCCCCCACATGAATATACTTGATTTTCTGGATACTCATGTAGTGGAATCAAAATGTGAGTGTCCTATGCATATTGCATTACCATTACCTTGTGAGAGTGTAACGTCTTCTGACATTTCAGAATGGCTGAAGAAGAGCTTGATGCTGACTACATCTTGGCAGTGCCGGAGGAAAATCTGCATTCTGATACATTAGGTACATATCTAATTCTTCAAAGATGTTCTTGTTATATCTTTTGATAATCCTTTTTTCAGTCATTTATGCTCCTACACCAAAGTGAAAAATTGATAAGAGAAGAATGATTTCATTGAGTTAATGCTAATCACACCTTTTTAATTAACCCAAACCAGCCTTTCATATTGTAATGTCAAAACATCAAGTGTTCTTAAAAGTTGATTGTTATCTTACGTAAAGGCATAGGAAGTGTTTTTGACTGCCTGCCGCCTGGCCCATGGTCCTCATGCCAGTTTCTTTTTTCATTAATGCCTTTGGTAAAAAAACCTATGTCTATTGTATAAATTGACTCTGTTGATTGTCATGTGTACACTGTACGCTGTCATAATATTCAGTCATGCATTTGATACCCTTGCTCTTTTCCAGTTTCAAACACAATCACCCTAGATGAGGAGGACATTTTCCAGTGTGGTCGGTGCCGAACCCAGTTCTCCGCTCTCACAGATTTTGTGCTGCACAAACAGGAAGAATGTGGAGGTACAGTACATTCATACAGTAACTTTTCCCAGAAAGGGCAGTTTAGCTAGTCAGCTTAATCTCAGTGATGGAAATGTTTTACTAGAATTTACCAGTTAGTTATGACCAGTTATCATTTTTAAGCTTACCTATTCTTAACATCTCGATTTTTATGAATATTTCAATATTTTAGCGTCAGTAATATTCTGGGAACCAGATAAAGTCTGGAGTTGATATCTAGTACCTATCAATATACCAACATTAATGTGTTGTATCAGTATGGATCTTCATTGCTGCCTTCTTGTATTCAACCACAGGATTGCCAGGAGCGATGGTATCCACTCTGGCCCCCTCGCCGCCGCCACCGCCTCCCCCTCCCAGCCTGCGCAGCCCGGAGGAGGCGCCCCGCACTCAGGAGAAGCTGGTCCGCACCTACTGCCGTGCTGCTCCCGTGAGTTGACCACCAAGTGGTGGTGCATGGCCGTTCTTAGTTGGTGGAGTGATTTGTCTGGTATAATCTGATAACGAATGAGACGATCCGACCACCACTCGTCGCAAACTGAGAACGATGCATTATGATGAATGATGCTATCAGCCTTTTATCATTGATAATATACAATACACATTTCCCCCATCAAAACGTGAGCTAAATCGTTCTGATGAAAATTGCTAGTACAATATCGTTTTTTGAAGTCAAATTGTATTTACTTACCTTGTCCTAGATTAAGTTGACTCATTACCGTACCTCTATGTATCTATCAACCAGAGGCCATCCTCCATTCGTCGTTCACAATGTATTCGTTTTTCAGTCGGTGGTGGACCGGCCACTGACGCACGTGCCATTGGATGATGACGTCACACCGCCCGGGGGCGATCTGTCTGAGCGCCTCATCCTCGACAACGACGCCATGGAGTTCTCCATCGAGATCCCCGACTCGGAGGTCCAGGTAGGCGACTGGGAGGTAGGACTTTGAGTGGTGAGGCCACTGGGTGAGGCAGGGTGATGCAGCTGGGATGGAGTAGGGTGGTGCCAGGAGGATATAGCCGTGGTCAGGTGTATCAGCTGGCAGCTAAGAGGTGAGGCCAGGTGAAGCAGGTCAGGCGAAGTCAGTAGGCAGCTCAAAGGTGAGTTTAAGCGCCAGGGCTGTGGTAGCTCAGAGCTGAGTTAGAGCGCCAAGATTCTAGCGGAGAAGAAGTGAGGTGAGGTCTAACAACAGGAGGACAATGCCTGACTAAAAGCGTTCCAGGACTGGTGCTTCTGTGGCAGATGACAGGCCTTGAGGTGGGACTTTGGTAAGTTCGGGTGGCCGGGTATTAGGATGAGGTCTTGCCCTTACCCTAGTCAGCTCCCAGTCCTACTTTCTAGTTATGGAGCACTTAGCTGAATAGTTGGGTTCTGGTGGATGTTTGGGACTCTCTTTTAGCTCATTTGCCTCGACCTTCAGTTGTCGGGAGAATTTCTCTGGCTAGTATTGAAAGCAAGCTTTCCGAGCCGTATTCGAAAACTGTGTGCCTCGATATAATTCTCAGAAGTTTGTCGACGTCTGGGTCAGTCGCACAGAGCAGAGCTATTTTCCCTTCTTCACGAAGACTTAGATTGTAATCCCAATTAGACCACCTCTAAATCGGACTGTACTTATTTAACAGAAGCTGTGTCGCTCCCTAAAAATCCACGCCGAAGGCCCAACCTGTAGTTCTGTGGAATGTCGGGGTAGCGTGGTTGGTCTGTGACGCAGATCGCTGGGTAAAGGGGATCGGTGCGACCGCGCGCCGGTCCGACCGGCCGCGGCATTCTATGGCACGTTAAGGATCGCACGCGATTCTATCTCGACTAGAAGCGGACGGTATATTTTCCGGTTGAGTTATCATTGCATAACTGGATTACCGCTTCGCCGTAGAGCATCAAGTCCTGTTAGCAGGCGCTCCGTTATACCATGAACTGTCCCTGAGGGATTTCGGGATAGTATATGAAATCAAATGAGAGTAGTATATTTATCTGTCAGTATGAAAAGTGATATGCTTCTTACGGTTAGCAAGCAATCTTCAACTTTCGAAGATCGTTTTTTATCTGACGCCATGCTTTTTGCAATGCATGCTCAATTCGTCAACCAAATTTGATTTTATCACCTTCCTGCTGCCCATTTTTCTTTTGTCACATTTCAGCATATCGAATATATTTTTTTTCATGAAATCTGAAAACATACAGCTGAGGCCATGTCATGTTCAGAGCCCCTTAATTCGTTTTAGAAATGCGATCCGACTGGTTTTGCGAGCCGCACGTGTTGAGTTTGTCATTATCTGGCCGGGTTTCTGGCCGGTCGGGGGGGCGGTGGCCTCCCGCGCGCCACTTTCCCTAGCTCCGCGGACTCTGGTCAGCCATGAGCGGGCGGCGGGTTTCCAGCAGCGATCGTGTGTCGATCGGCGTCGGCTGAGAACAGATGTGATGCCGATCGGCGGTGAGGAATGCGGCCCTGCAGAGGAGGTGGCTGCTGCCGACTGAGCGGCGAGCAGTAGATTGCAGCCAGATGTGGTCGCTGGGCGCACTGACACTGTGCCGACTGCCGCCGGGCGAACTGCCTCTGAGTGCATTGACACTGGACGGCAGACCACAGCCGCTTAGTCTATAGGGGCTGAGAAAAGATGGGTGTTCTGGTACAGGGTAGGTCTGGTTTGACCTATCGGATGATCGGACTCCAATATCTATCAATTGCTTCATGCTGAGGAGGCACCAAATCGGCATTGTTTGGTAGTCAACCTTTTCTTGTGTAAGCCGCTTGACAAATTTACGATGATTTGTGGGTCACTAACCACGAAATGAATTAGCATTGCTGATAAGAATATTCCCTGGATGTTGTTGCAGATTAAATGCCTTATCAAAACTTGAGATCAATTATTAATTGGAAGTTAAAGTCGACCCGTCAGAGTTGCCTGCTATTTTGGGTTTGATCATAAGTTATATACTTGTTTTTGATGTCGAATATGGTCGTTTTATCAACCTGCAATCATTTGCAGAACTCATTATTATGTAAATAACTATATGAATGATGGATCTTGATTTTCCGATGTGAAAGATAAAGGGATCCGATTCCAATGAGATTTAATCAACTAGCCGTCGTGCACTATGCAAGAACTTTGCGGATGTTCCTTGATTAATTTGCATTACCTTATCTGACGAGAAGGTTTGAGAGGATAATCGTATGTGCATCTGAAATCTCTTCCCGACTAACCCGATCATACACCTTTTATCAGCGCCTCTATCAGTACTACAATCAGTGCTAGATAACGCCGGTAGATTGTAGCTCGTAGTGGACCACGCTGTCATTGTACCTATGTAGGCCGGTCATTCCGAAGAAGTCCGCTGCGTGATGTATGCCTGTCATGTGACCGTGGCTGTCGCCGGCTGTCCCGTCATAGGAAGGTGGGGTTGGCGCCAGCAGCGCCCCACACGTCAAAATCTCCGGTCCTCGCGAGCTGTGCGCATTTTGCGCCCAGTACTCGTCTAGAAACGTCACACGAAACTTTTCCCGATGTTTCTCCCGCCGGTTTCATCATCTTATAATATGTGCGGCCTGACCGACAAAAAAGTATCAGCTATCTCCCCATCAAAGGTGATTTAATTTAGATCTCTATCTATATCTGAGACTGGATGTTCCACCTCCACGGCAAAGGCTGGGCTGCATATATGACGTACGATTCGACCGTCTTCTTACGGGCCGACCGGTGGGCTTGCCGTTTCCAGTAACGCTCCCGGATATGTTCATAGTTGGTAATCATGTGATTACGGGCCATCTCGGCGAATGATATGGATCGTGATGCCGTATTTTATTTGGAATACCCTCCCGAAGCGGTCTGTTCACAACACGCCCGCCAGAGTATTTTTGACACCTATGAATTGTGCCGACAGACTTTGCGGTTTGCGGGGAATAAGAAGGCGCTGCCCGTTTGGTTCGCTGTATTCCGAGCCTTGCTGGCCTGATCAAGCAACGGTAGAATGGTTTTGGACCCGGTTGGTCGGTTGATTCTCGGTGTTGTGACAGAATCTTACCTCAGATTTGCGTTCATACGGTGATCATTGTGATTTATTCGGGGAGAGACGTCTGCCTTTTATTTAGTGTTGCGGGTTGTATGAATGTTCTCAAGGATGGATTTGATACGATTGATCATCGTTATTATCATCGTCAGGAATAGGATTATCAGTCATCAATATATCTGTTATTGTATGTAGCCTTTACAGCGTCTGACGTGTAGCTAGTGTCGTATCGTCACCTGAATTCTGTGCCGTGTCCGCATCGTTACCTGACAAATACAAATACAAGTGCAACTTCCTGACCTCCGGTACCTAGTTTGTGTATTACACCTGACCTCTGGTGACCCGGTGATCGCAGACGGTGGCTACCATCCCCTCTCTGCGCGGCGACGACCCGGCCGCCGTGGCGCTCCTGGAACAGGAGTGTCTGGAGCTGGATCGGCTCGATCCATCCTCCACAGCTCAGACCGCCGCGCCCGCTGCCAAAAACACGTGCGATGTGTGCCACAAGGCCTTCAGCAAGCGGTTCGACTTGCTGCAGCATCAGAGGAAGCATACCGGTAGGTGGAGAGGAATGGCCTTTTTGTTGTGTGCATGGCTATTGCGCAGGAAGATTTACACTGTTGTTTGATTGTCTTCGAGGCCTTTCGCAATTACGCCTTTTTTATTATTCATCGAGTCTCATTGCATGTTCCTTTTTCTATTTATTGAATGAATTTCATTCAAACTCATTGTTCAATCAGCTCGTATCTGAAACGAAACCCATGTCCTGGCCGTCATTTTGCAATGTCTGAACTCTCAACTCTTCACTCGCTCCTCTGAACCGCTACGCTCTGCGAACGCCTCAATCTCCAACTCCTGGAACTTTTTCAGCCTTTACGGGTGTGCCCAAGGCGAGGCCTTATCCATGCGTCCTGCGATGTCCTTTGCGTTCATCGTGAGCAAACCGTCCAATTCTAGTTATTCCAAAATCCGTTAAACCGCATAATCCGTGCACACAGGTCTCATCTTTGCCCAGGTTGTTTTACCTCGGTCAAGAAAGTTGGTGTGCATTTTGGAGCACGGCTGATGTCTAAACAGGATAGCACTATTTTCTTCATAATCGTCCATAGTCCCACCACTGGCGATGAGTTTGCTAGAAGATGCGCCCGTTTTGACCGTTCACGGACAACGCCATCTTTGATGCGCCTTTACAATCCGCTGACCCAGTCTGAACTCTCCTCACAAAGTCTGTGCTCATGCGGGACGATTTCCAGAAGCGGCTCTATAACCTCGTCACGCTGGTGGTACGATGAACGTTTTCGGTCCGCCAACCACCAGACATCTGAACATCTGCGCTCTGCATAAAGCTTCATTCGTGGTTGTGTGATGCAACGCATTACATAGATTAACGTGGTTTTCTGCGCATGAATGCGTACAATACGAAATTCGTCGTTTGAATTTTATGAACTAAGCCCTATTTTTTTCATGAATTGCATCGGATACAGAGACGTAATATTTCCACACAATTTGCAGATAGGGATTTTATTTCATTTTTTTAAGGCTCTTTGATTCGCACTAGTGCACGACAGAGTGACAGGAGTAATCGTATTTGAATGCAATATCAAATTATATGCCACCAAGATGTATTATGGCTTACGTTATGCCAACGCTTTGGGACTTGTACTTGTGAATATGACACTCCAGTAAACCTTTCTGTCTACCCTCATGAACATCGTTTAACACCAAACATCTCTATCTCCATCCCAGGTGAGAAGCCGTTCCGATGCCCGGTGTGCGGTCGCTGTTTCACGCAGAAGTCCAACCTCAAACGTCACATCGAGTCGCACCGCGTGTGGCCTGGCGGCGCGCGTGAGACGCTCCCCTCCGACCCGGCGGCCGCCGGCGGACACCAGTGCCGGCATTGTGCGCAGACCTTTGACGGATATGGCGCGTTCAAGTCACACCTTCGGCAGCATGACGAGATCAAGGTGGGAAGGAGGCTTATGGGCGTTGCAATGGGAAGAGGGGAGTGGTGTTATGAGAGAGGGTTGCAGTAGGAGGTAAGAGAGAGGACGTGGCACGGACAGGAGACGCAGTGTTGGGGTAAAGGCGGGGACAATTCAGATATGGGTCGTTGTGTGGAGCAAGCACGGGTGTGGCAGGCAGGCGGTAGTTTGCATGTGAACGTGTTAGTGAACGGAGCTCGTTTCGCCGCAGTTGAGGTCTCTGGTGTCTTCTCTGGCCTCCCTGATCCTGCCTGACGCCACTAGACCCCCAGCGCCCTCTGTGATCTTTCCCTTCCCCACTGCTACCCGATCAGGTTCCAAACCCGCATCTGTACCTCTCCGTCCCTACTAGTCCTTTGGCGGCCTCTCTGACCTTCACGTCTCCCCACCAAGGCGCACTCTGATACCCGTGTCCCACCACCAATTATCTTACCCCTTTCCCCATGCATGTACCCTTTCTGTCCTCTCCTCCCACCATCAAAGCGCCCTCTCTAACCTTCGTGCCTCTCCCTCCCGCCGCCAGGTGTACCGGTGTCCGCAGCGCGACTGTGGCGCCACCTGTGACGACCAGGACCGCTTCCTGGAGCACCTGCGGCGCCACCACGCGCAGCTCGAGTTCACGTGCCACGTGTGTGGCCACGTGTTCACCTCGCTACGCCTGCTCAGTGATCACGTGGCGGCCAGTCACGGCGGGCTCGCAGACGGAGAGGAGACGGAAAAGTACGTGTGGGAGAGAGGGAGATGATAATTATAACGCGGCTGGCATGACGTCTTCGAGCTAAATCAGCTGACTGGAACTTGGGACACTCTGGATAGTGTTTCGCTTTTATCACTGACTGCCGTTTAACCCGCGAGTTGCTGGGGGGGGGGGGCGTTAAACGCCCCCACTTTTTTCGCCGGGCCATAGCATAAAAACGGCGCGCCGCAGGCGCGCCAAATTTTGGTTACCTGTAGGGAATTGATTGAAGTTTATTGTGTCAAAGTTTCAAAAAAATCGGTCGGAAAATTTTTGAGATATCGAAGTTTTAGTGACGTCATGATTTCTGAGTTTTCGACCAAAAACGGCATATGTTCAAAAAATCATATAAAATCACAGAATAGACATACAGACATGCCGTAAACGCCACTAGACTGCCAATACCATGAACAATCAAATGGCTATCTTCGATTATTGATTATCGTTCCGCATTTTCCAAAATCTTGAATTGAATCTTGGCAATTTCTCGTGACTACTTCACGACCATGATACATGCATTTCTTAAATTGAAGTTTTTGAGCCAAACACGTACACATACGATAAAATGAATGTGACCATCGTGTTCTACGCCCCGAAGTACCCATAAAACATGTGTCACAGGCTGCGAATATCAGTTTTGATTTTCGGGGATATGTGCCTACCCGGTTGACCTGACCTTGACCCTGACCTATGCTTGATTGACCCCTACATGGAGCTGACACTCTTGTAGGCCTTATATGATGGATTGTGCACCGTTTTGACAGAGTTTATGACGAGAGGCGCCTATTGCGAAGTCCTGAAATCCATGCTACTGAAAGCCCGATTTCAGGTGTTTGACCTGACCTTGACCCGACCTGTGACCTCAAAATTCAACTTTAAAGTACTCATCTGAAGCGTCTCGTCGCGCTCTTTCGTTTGCCGCCTCGTGCGTTTCGCTGCGCCTATTGGTTCTCGAGTTATCGGCTGGGGGCGTTTAACGCCCCCCCCCCCCCCCCCAGCAAACGGTGGGTGGCGAAATACCCCAGCAACTGCCGGGTTAATTATGCTTCTGGGAGAAAATCAGGCCGAATGCATTTCACTATTATCAGTTTATATTTATGTCGGATACTGGAAGCTGTGGCCAGTGAACTAGGAGAAGGCCCGATGTTTGTGTTTTCATCGCGCCGTTCACCGCGGTGTTACCCCTGCTCCCTGATACGCACCCATACACGTCATGAGACATCCCTATCCACTGCTTAGTGAATCACCCATGAGTTTTACGTGACCTGTTCGTTGTCTGCAGGCCCTCGTTTTTCTGCCACCGCTGCCAGAGCCGGTACAGTTCTCTGTCCGCTCTGGAGTATCACCTTCAGACCAACAGTCACAACTTCACCTGCAAACTCTGCAGTAAGGTACGTAATTTAGTGTCAACCAGCGCCGTGTGGTTTTCGTAAGGCGAGCGCCGAACTAGAGCAGTGATGCTTCAGTAAGCAGTCGATATCCACTGCTTTACCAAATGTGATGAGTTAGTACAGCTGTCTGATTGGGCACGTTATTTCTTTTTTTAAAGTTTTATTTCGCGGCGTCTTTCTGTAATTGTCCTCCCCCCCCCCCCCCCCCACTCGGTGCTTTGTCATCCGTTTCCCTTCACACACACAGACACGCCCACACACTTCCACTAGGTATCCAATCATCAATGGAATCAAAGACTGGACGATTCCACTTTTAAGACACTTACCTGACTAGCTACTGTGTCCTTGCTCCAGCCATACTCTGAACATTTTCATCTGAGCTAACTCTAACCGCACCCCTCTTCTCCAGGTGTTCAACTCGGAGCGGTTTCTGCGCCGCCACCTCCAGACCCACTCCTCCACACCGACTTTTACCTGTAAGAAGTGTGGCAAGGCGTTCAACACCCAGGGCTACCTGCGCGCGCACATGAAGACACACAGCGACCAGAGGCAATTCGTCTGTGAGAGTGAGTGGATAATCTGAAACGACGGGGCTCGGTGGTTTTCGGAGATGGGGTAGTTTTGCGATTGGTGGGTGGTGGAAATTTGACTGGATCAAGATGTAACTTTGACTTCATAAGAATGTATTTAGGCTGCATGCTTATGATAAAGCATAGGGAATGACTTGATAAGTTTATCTAATGCTAGGATAAGAAGGATCAGGGAAACGCGGAGAGGTATCGAGAAGGGATACGAGCTGATAAACTGTAAAATGGCTAACTATGTGCGAAACTGCAGTCAGCCTACATTTGTATTCCTGAAGTTCAATACTTTCCATTGCCTTTTACCAGTACCACTGTCCTCCATGCTTACACATTCCAATACCTCATTCGCAGCGTGCAATAAGCGTTTCAAGCGTCGGGACCAGCTGCGTCGCCACCAGGTGATCCACAGCGAGAAGCGGCTGCTCTGCCCGTTCCGCGCGCACAACGGCTGCTCGCGGACCTTCTCCAGATCCGGTAGGTGGCGACAGCTGTCCTTGGAGGGTGGTGGTCACGTTAGGGGCGGAAGACTGTCCGGTGATATGCTGTGGCATATTCAGTGGCTAAACCTGAGCTAATTTGTTGTCATATTGTTCTTATAAATACATCGCAGTTATTCAGTCGTTCAGATCGTACATTCGTGACACTTATACAAGGACCAAGGTACACCAACTCGCTTATGTTTGTTCTTATGTTCCTATGTTGTTATCTGGTATTGTTCTTATGTTTGTTATTCTGTAGTCGTTACTCGTTAGTGTTTTTGTTTCCGATTTTGCAATAGCTAGCTGGTGCAGCTGACATTTCTCCGCATCGGTTTGGTGGGCGATGGCAAAGACAAATGGCCAAGGATTTGTGTATTGGGAGCCACGAGCTCGTTTATTGGGAACTTGAGTGTTTTACTCGCTTGCATCGCGACATTCTGGGGCTTTATGTATGATACGCTGCCTGCCTCCATATTTATTCTGACCGCCCTTTCCTCAATGACGCTGGCAGACAAGCTGAACCTGCACGTGGTGACGCACGCGGCCGCCCGGCACAAGTGTAAGACGTGCGGCAAGCTCTACAGCAGACAGGACGCCATGACCAAACACGCCAAACGCTGCGTGCGGATGGTGCCGTGTGCTACCTGTGGAAAGGTAAGCGGGATGGAGGGGCTGGAGAGGGGAGGGGTGTGGGGAGCAGAGAAGTGTAGTAATTGTTCTGAGTTGTGAAGCTGCTAGATCTATGACTCGAAAGCAGACGAGTCTCTGCTGGTCGATGGATTGCTTTTCTTGTTATGGGTGATAAATAATGGTAGATGTTACTGCTAATTGTGATAAGGGAGCGTACCTGTTCGACGTTTATAGCACGTTTGCAAAGCTATGCTGCTCTCTGCAAGTTCCTCGGCTTGCTATCCTCACTTGACCTGAAGTTCTATAGGGTGTTTGCTAGTTTTTTGGCGCCTGTTTTATACGGACGAAGTATCGGTCGTGTGTGCCCATTCACTGACCGTCCCCCCCCCCCCTTCCTCCAGGAGCTGCCTCCCTCCGAGGTATCTTCTCACACCTGCCCGGAAAAACAGCTCGACTGTGACGTCAAACTTCCACCAGAGTGTGACGTCATCATCACAGAGGACCGCCCACCATCCGAGGCACCAGTATCACCACCGCCTCCTCCATCACCTCCAGGTGAAGTTGACGACCCTCCTCCTGCTGCTCCATCAGTAGTGGAAGAGGTAGGCACCGGCTCCGAGCCTCCTCTGGTGCTGTATGTCCCTGTGCAGCTGGAGGAGGGGTCGCGCATGGAGCTCGTGTCGGCTCTTACTATTCTGGGCTCGGCGGACATTGGTGCGTATGGGGATCGGGTGTTATTAGAGGACTCTGTGATAGCGGCGGAGAGTGTCGATGTGATCATGTCTGAGGCAGGGGCGGACGGAACGTGATGAGAAGTGATACTGAACTTTCAGTGTGGGCAATTGAGAGGATCTAAACAGCCCTGGTCCGAGCCAAGGACTGGTCATGTGGAGAGAAACGTATCGATAAAACGGGCAGAGATCAGAGCATTTTAGCAGAAAATCGAAATGGCTGAAAATCGAAAGATATTATAAAGAATGGCGCCCTTTGAATGCGGTACACAAGCTACAGACCAATAAGTACAACGGGAGAAGAAGAGAATCGTATGTGTCAATCCCAGCTTGGCACGGACTAGCTGTAGCTGCGTGAATGTTGTGCATGGTTCATCGGTGTGCTTTCACAACTGTGTGCCCTTTATTTAGTGTTCTATGTGCCCAACACCATGCCTTTCTGGCATTTTGAATCCATCCGTAGCTCATCATGACGTGTGTGATCCAAACCTGCACAGTGTCATTTCGATGGTTAGTACAGCCTAGAAGACGCGCCTATGCGTCAGTAGCTGGGTAAATAGCCAAAGCGCCCAACTTGCCTGGCCCGGTCTCATGGATAGGTGACTTGAGCCTGGCTGCTTGCTCTATGCAAGTTTTCTTGTTGCTGGTATTGTAAGGTCGTTGTGGCTTATCTGTGTCAATCCTCAGTGGACGTCGCTTGGTGTTTTCTATTTCATCTCACATGAGTATCCAATGTTATCAATGTGTTTTATGTAGTAAAGCGCTTCACAATAGCCTAATGTGAATGCATGCATTTGACGTTACAATCCTGTTGTTTTCATGTTCCCTATCCATTTAAATCGTTTGCTCTCAGTGCTCTTGCCTAAAGCTATTCTCGTGGTGGGTTGATCGCAAGTTTTTTTTATATTTCATGATGTGGCATTACAACTTACAAGTGTTATTTGTAGGAAAAACTGGGTTCCGTGTCTGTTTGGTGTCATTCCCATTAGTATTTGAACATAAGTATGTGTTCAGAGTGCAGATGGCGTTTAATTTCTTGCACCAAGTGTCCTTCCCCCCCCCCCAAAAAAAAACGTGAAAATACTTATTGTGTTACGTTCTTCATTCGAAGTCTCCCGCCAGAGACTGGACGATTGTATGGGCACAAACGGTGGCATGCTCACTCGGGAACAAATTGTTTGTTATTCCGTTAGTATCGTGCGCCGCTCTCATCATAATTTGCTGGTTATGGCTGTTACGTTTGCGTTGTGATTGTTTTGAATTGTGCTTCACGGTTTTCTGTCTAGGTGTCTGTTTTGTTGAATGTGCTTGTCGGCAGGTTTGCTGCATTTATTCGACTTGAGCTACCACCAAGAACGCTATTTGTAGCATGTCATGTTTCCAATGGATCGTTCTTTCACTGCCTCGCCAAGCTCCATGTTGCCCCTAATTTTAGATATTAAAGGTGTTTAGGTACATGTTAGATGTTCTTTGTCTCAATTGCATAGTTTGGTAGCTTCATGCGACGGCTATTTGGGCAACGGCATGCATGTTCTGTGGCTTGCGATTAATTTATGCCCAAACTGTAGGTACAGTCCACAGCAGAAGTAATGTGGGGTTTCAGTCATGGGTATGTTCTGCATCTGAAGCTTAGGAACGATTAGCCAGACTACAGTGAAACTTTGAATGTAGCTTATATGTATCGTCACCCTTGCAGCTGCAACTTTAGCTATTGATATCTTCTTTTCGATCACTCCGCATTTAACAATCGCCAGTCAAAGCCAACCGTTGAGATTGGTAAAACCCTGCATTACTTTAGCGGTGGGCTGTACAGTCTGTCTTAAAAGTACCGCGCAAAGTGACGGTGGATCCATCAAGCCTGACCGATGAAGGACTGCCAAATTTGAGTCACCGAAGCAATGGACATCCTCGTCCATTCCCCAGCTCCATTGGTTCGGTGACTTTCAAATTATAGCAGGCCCTTCCTCGGTCAGGCTTGATGGATCCACCGTCACTTTGCGCGGTACTTTTAAGACAGACTGTACATACTTTAACTGTCATTCGTAGTTCATTCATTTGTTGTTGGTAGTGCATGATTTTGATGTGAGGCCATGTCCCTGACTGCATATTCTTTTCATTGTGCTATGCTCAAAGCCGGTGTTTGCGATCCAAAGAGACTGGGGCTCGAATGAGACGAGAGTTTCAGGCTAAGGCCTCGAATGGGACGGCAGTTTCAGATTGATGTTATGATCTGAGATGTGTACTGGAATGCATTCGTCAGCGATGTCGGCTGATTTAGCGACTGTCCTGACGCTTACTCTCGGCGTATGACCTGACTCAGTGTACCAATAAAATGTGTCAATGTTTGTTTGATTTTTATCCCTCCTACTGGTGAGATTCGGTTGGTGAAATTGATGCACCCCGTTCACACGCAATGCGAACTTGTACTGACTCCGACAGGATGTAAGCAAAACACCAGCACACTCGTCTTGTTGAAATCTTGTACAGTGTTTCACTCTTTTGTCCTCGGACTGCCCTGCTGTCAATACTATCCACAGCGGCTCGTAAGGATCCTCAACCTCAGTTAATTAAAATTCAGCATCTCAAACGAACACAAACTTTGCAGTGTTGCAGCTTAGGAAGGAACCGGAAACATTCTTATTTGTTAGCTTTCAAATGAAACAACTATCGTTACCGGCTTCCCAGCGGCTGATACATTTCTGTTCAAGGTCACCGTCGCTAATGTCCGACCCGTACACCACCAGACCATATAAGGCGTGGGACGTTTGACGGGATTGTGCCCGCGTCACATTGATCATGTGATATGTGTGTGTAGTGAAGCTTTACGATGACAGATTCTTTATTTGGTTTGCCTTCATGCATGTATGTGTGCCTTCAGCTTACGTCACTGTATACGCTTTGGGCTGCTCGCTGACAGATTTCGGCGTCATTTTGACCACAGTGGTAGTAACCGTTTACTGAGGCCATTCACAAGCGCGTGATTTATGCGTTGTTCGGCCCACGCGTCCTAACTCTTGCTGGAGACTTCCACACGCGGGTAAGTCGCGTGTAAGTGGTTTGCGGGTAAGTTGGCGTTTATCTCGCGTTTAAGTCGGCGGGTAACTTTGCCCGGAGACTTCCATCTGCGGGTAAATAGTTTGTTCGCTAAGTTAGCGAAGGAACTTACACGCAAGCCACCCCATGTATTAAGTTCGCGGGTATCTTTTCGGTGGTGCTTTTTTTGGTCCTTAGGGGGTTTTAAAAGTTTATTTCTGTGCAAATTTTATGTGCAAGTGATAGACAATAGTGCAATAATCTAGTTCTGGCCTTTTCAGCCAGTTCGGCCTAGCCGTTCGGCTGCTAAGATTAGACGAATTTGAGGTCACCTTTCCATAGTACTGAGGCCAGTTTTACCAACAGAAAAATAGCCGCCTGGCGGAATTTTTCGCCTAAAGGCCGATTCACATACGGATCGAGAGCGGTAAAGCCCTATCCGCTTACGTGCTTATCACGTTTACACTCCGTATGTGAAACGGTCTTTAGGCAAAAAAATCCGCCAGGCGTCTATTTTTCTGTTGGTTAAACTGGCCTCTGTGCTTGTTGAGGGGTTACAAATTACGTATTTCATCACTTCAAGTATCCAGATGTTTTCAACAAGTCATACATGAGTAATCAGAGCAATATTTGAGTTGACAGAATTGAGGATGTAGGACTCAAATTTTCAAATGTGGAGGTATTAGTCTATTTCCATCGCACCTATCTCCTTGCCACCAGCTGCTATTTCGTAATATTCGGGATAGTGAGATGGGATTCGTATCGCATCCGAAATAATGTGATCGTCGAGCCAGCCGGCCATGTCGGGCCCCTGTCGCCGCACTTCGCGTTACGTGTCAGTGGGGCGAGGACCAGCTCAGTGGAAGCAATACGAGTGACCGGTCAACAACCATGGACAGGAAGAAGAGGAGCAGCAATTTCAGTAGTAGAGACATGCATTTGTTAGCCGATGTCATGAAGACTGAAGTAGAAGTCATCGAAAATAAGCGACACGATGGAAGGAGTAATGAAGAACGAAAACGGTCTTGGAAGAACATTGTTACAGCCTGTAATGCAAGGTCAGTAGAAAAATGGGACTAGAAAGCTCTGACACAGCTCTGGAGAGATATGAAAAGGACGGCCAGAAAGAACTATTAGCGGTTTAAACGGCAGCAAATGGGCACTGGTGGTGAACCGGATCCTGCGCCGTTGGAACGTCAGCCACCCCCGCGACACGCACATATTAAACTGATCACTCGGTGATAATCGTCCTTTGTGTGACATTGAATTGGACACCGACGACGCCTCACCGGTGAAGTGACGGGGCGGGGGTGAGGACGGGGGGTGACGGAGACGAACCGACGAGGGCAGACGAGTAATCTGAGATACGGCTGTTGCAAGATCATGCAGTAGACCGGCGGTCGGCCATACGGAGTGAAATAACACAAGGCGATTAGCATTATTGATGCTGATTGGCACGGCTTCAAACGCTGTTCTGGTTAGGTTAATGCATCACCACATCCCATTGTTACGGCTGTACTCATTGCATGTGTAAAAACGCTGATTGGGGGCCACCGGCCCCATAAATAACGGAATTACGCACTTGTTCATTGGACCAGCTGATCGCCGCATCCCGATCAGCTGATCGGGAAGCCCTTTAAACTGGCGTGTAAGTCGGCATTTAAATATTTACACGCGTGTAGCTACCCACCAGTTAACCGCGGATGGAAGTCACCGGGTAAAAGTTGGTGGGCAGCTACACGCGTGTAAGGAAGTTAGCCACCAAAATAAACGCGAGTTAACCGCAAACTGGAAGTCTCCAGCCTAAGGCTGGAGACTTCCATAGTACATAGTCATATAGTACATAGGTCTGTGGCACTTGTGAATGTGTGTGTATAATCTTCCAGATATATGTGCGTCTGAATTGAGGGCTACGAGGAGCGAGGTGTTTGAAATGAGCTTGATGTGTCGTCGTCTACTATGTGAATGGCCCATTCATTTGAAAAGAATGAACTTGGGTAAATGTTTGCTTCAGGAGAGGATGCTGTAGGCTGTAACCATGCAAAGAAAAATGTTAGTCTTTCAGGTCTTATGTTTTGTGCTCAAATGCCAATGTTGCGTTAATTTTCGATAATGATCGGCGGATAAAGTGCTTAATAGGTATAGCTGACCGTGCAGCACGTCCACATTTTTCACAAATTATTCTACACGTATTTATCGTTTGGTGACCTTCCTAAGCTGCATTTCATCACTGACATGACTAATGGCACAAACAGCACACCCAAATGCCACAACTCTGAGTAACCACCGGGGTCAGCGTAACTCAATCCGAATTCGGGAGTCTCTCTAGCGCCGGCATTCGGTCACCACTAGGCGGTCCTGAGATCAGACTTGGTGCCGCTGATACCCTCCAGAGCTGCAGTTCTATCAGTACCGCCGTGTGCAACGGGTGACTGGTCTATCATCCTGAGATGCCTGCAGTGGTGCACAAGCAGTCTCGCGAGTCTCCGCCGCTCAATTTGCCTGTTTCCGGTCACAGTGTCACCATTTCCGGCGTGTTTATCTGATCGGCATGCCGTCACGTCACCTCGACGGTGTCCCTCCCAAAACCGAGCGACCATGACCCACCCTGCACGGCACGCCATCCCAGAGAGATCCACCATCAGTAAACATGCCGTCCCAGCTCCTCGACATCAGCCAGATCCGCCCGCCGCCGCCGCACCGACAGCTTGACGCATTGCATACGCCGGCCAGTGTACAAACTGTTCAGCACGACTGCCGCGGGGTGATATCAAATCCCACCGCCGGCTGAAGTCGCGATGCAGACTGGTGATCTCAGCAGCAGTCACCTCTGCGGGCGCCGGCAGTCAATCTGTCCGTCAGCCAGCGTGCCATCATTTCAGTCATACATCTCATACGACAGGTGACGATTAAACTGCGAACGGTACGCCACTGTTCGGAAGCTAATCAAGCAAACAATATGCCAAATGGTGAGCCGATCAGACTCAGTCCGGTGTACGGAGGTCCGAATACAGTAGCGCAGTGTCGACGGCGCCATATTGACATGACCTTGCAGGCCGACGTGGCCGACGCGGCTGCTGTCTGTTTTTACTGCGCTGCCTGTCGGCTGTGAGGATCTCGCCGGCCGGGGGCGGCGGCGGGGGCGGGGGCGGGGGCGGCTCCGAGGTGGTCGGCTGACGGCTGCCCGACAGTCGGTCAATTCAGGCAGCGTTGCATCTGTCGCTGCCCGTCTTTTGCGGCGTGAGAGGCGGCGCGGGAGGCGGCAGTCGGGTGCTCTGCACTCGGCGCTGTACGAGCGAGCCCACCCTGCGCGCTGGAGTCAATCCGGCCACGCACTGCAGCAGAGTACGGTCGGGAATGCAGCGTACACAATGAGTCCACAATGAGCAAACAGTCCAGGGTGGTTCGGTCATCATTGGCGATATTTATCAACACAGTGATGTGGTTTGGTTGGACGTAAAAGGTCAGTAGTCAAAACGGGAAGGATGCCAAGCACTTGTGACCATTCGCCGTATGAACGCAACACCTAACACA